ATGGCTCTGACTCATAGCAGCCTTGTAGGACAATGCAGAACTGCCCCGAGAGTTTCTGCGACTGAAACTCTTTACGGGAGAAGAAAGCTTTGCTTTTCTCTAAGCAGTTTCACACTGCTGGCCTGGGGTTAGGAGTCCAATGCACAACCAAGACTATGTCAGGTCTTTACCTTACCACAGCATCAGCTGAACATACAAGTCAAACTCTGAGAGGAGAAGACACAAAATAGCTCTATCCTCACTCAGTAATCTGAACACCTTCCAGTTCACTTTTCCATGTTATCTCTCCTCATTTATTCTTGATGTTTCTACCTTAGATACATTTCTCAAAAATAGATCTGCTAATGGCAATTCTACCATTAAAAAATTCAATTATAACTTTACTTTTTAATAATTCACTACTACAAAGGATTTGGATGTGAAGTAAAGCAGATATGGATGCACATTCTGCCATTTCACCCTAAATGTATCTGTAGTCTTAAAACTGACCGACTACAGTTACGTTAGAGGATGTCCATATGTGCTCACATACTTTGACAGGTGTTTGTATTAAGATAATACTGGTCTTCACAATTGCAACGCGTTGGAAGCAACCCAAATTTCCATCAACGGATGAATGGATCAAAAAACTGTGGTACATCGATACAAGGGAGCACACACATCCCTCAAAAGCAGTGATGAACGCATGAAGCACATTGCCGCATGGGCAGAACTTGAGGAAGTTATGCTAAGCGAAGTAAGCCAAGCACAAAAGGACAAGTGCAACATGAAACCACTGAGGTAAGCTTTAAAAATGAGGCATATATACCGTACATGCATTCCTGGGGTGAGGTCCAGGTACTATGGCAGGGGCCAAACCCAATCCAAGGAGACATATGTCAGTCAATTAAATAGGAGAGGAGAAGAGAGGGGGGGAAAAAGACCTGGGTGGTAGGGGGAAGCAGGACACTAACCCACCCAAGGGGAAGGTATTGTTTATTCCCCACAGGAGAGAGAGAGACACACACCAGACTTCAACCCAGTGCGCCAAGATGTGAATACAACGTGTCAGCATGTAGCAGGGAACCAATTGAGAGGTCTGCGGGGCCAGCCCCAATCCCAACTATGTGACCCCTTCCCCCCAGAAGAATGCATTTCAGAGGACAGCACTGAAGCTACAGCTTGGGGAGAGGGGAATGTATGATCAGAGCACACTGGAAAAATGAAGAGGGAAGGAGAGTGAATGGAACACATCCTGGCCACTAAGCTCTGAGGACAATATTCCTGCTCAGAGCAGACAATGCACATAGAGGACCATGGGCCGGCCCCACCACGAGACACAATGTCCCTTTCTGAACTGTGTTAGTCTGGGTACTTTAGAGAAACAAATCCACAGAAACTCATGTGTAACACAGAGTTTTATATATAGGTTAAGTGTGCATCAAGAAAACATCCCAACCCAGTGCTGCCCAGCCTACAAGTCCAACCCATTAACCCATATGCCCAACACCAGTCCACAAAGTTCTCCTCCATCTCACAGAACAGACACAATGATGCCGACTGCAGGAGAAAAGCCAAGTCAGTGAACGTGTAAGCATCTCAGTGCTGGCAGGGGTCTCCACATGGGTGCTCCAGCACCCAG